TTTCCCAAACCTTTCATATTAACATTAGCCTACAAGCCATTTAATGCCTCTGGCAGCTGGAGATGGGGAGAATTCGAGAATGCACGGCAAAATATTGGCTCTATTTATTAATTCAGTATAAATTTTGCCTTGGCTAGCATATCTGTTTTCATGAAAATCTAACCATATCTGTGCATTTCAACATGGTGAGAAATTTAAGTAGCCTTGAAATCATGACGCAGCTGAAGGCATTTACACACCACAGTTGTGGCAGCACACCTGTGCCCAAGTCATAACCAACGGTGTGAGGCAGGCAAGCAAAGACTTTCCCTCTGCTCCGTTTCCACTGTGGCGCATCAGCGGGGAAGCAGAGGCAGCTTGGAGCAGGATTCAATCGCCCTGCAAGACTTCGCCCTGGCAGCCTCTGACGGAAGAGCTACTCCCAGAAATCTTTCCTTCATCACTCTCCTAAATTCCCCTTCTCTTCATCTCATAACAATCAACCCAGATCTTTGGACACCATTTCATGTTACTACATTTTTTAAACAGGCTGTAAAAATAGAACTCCCTGATTTCTATCTCCCTCCTCATTCTGAAAACTGGTTTAAAAGGCTAAAATCTTTAGCCACTTCAGCTTAATTTGTCCTTCTTCCCCTACAGACGTTTCTGATGTGCCCCTCTAAGCTCAGCCAACTACTCAGATTTTTCTTCATGTTATTACTGTTTGGTTTTTTTCTGTCCATCTTTTTATCCTTTCCATTATCAAGCATTCTTAGAAAAGATTACGTTAAAACCGGCAAGCTGATTAAAATGCATTAGTAATAAATAAAGGGAAGACATCTATACAAAACCAGTAAAAGCAAGGATAGCATCTTTCGGTGTTCAGATGATTGCAAAATCATCTTTGAACTTCGCATTGCTTGCAGTGGTCTCACTTCACTGCGAGGTAATCCATATGGACTAGGGAGCTATCATATCAATATAATATTCTAGCAAAATATTTCTACCAGTATTCAGTACATCCACATCGACAGCATGCAGCTTCAGAGACTGAGATAATTCTTTAAAAAAAAAAAAAAAAAATCACAGAATACCCTACTAAAAATGCAGTTTGGAAAAATACCCAACATTTAAAACAAATTTCATTTACAACAAAATTCATTATTACAAAACAGAGAAGAAAACACCAAAACGGGAATATTTTAAAGGCCACATGAACTTACAATTTGGTTAATAACAAATGTGTTGGGGTTTTTCAAATTTAAAAAACTAACATATTTTCCATTTTACAGACTTGCAATACTGAAAAAACTCCACTATCTGGCACAGCATTAGCTCCTATATGTACTGAAGAAGAAACTAATGTAAGCCCTGCGCATTTGTTCTTTTTGTAATTGACAACATTCAAATTCAAGAACTGCTTCTGACTTTCACTGTATTTAAGCAATCTCACACAGTTTTACCTGGTGGCCAAACCTGGCCCACAAATGTGATTTTCCCACTGACGATATGTGAATCAAACCCACAAAGTCTGCTTTGCACGTTCGTGCACTAGTTTTTAAGGACAAACAGGAAAGCATATTTAAACTTGTCAGCTGAGCAAGCTTGATACAGGGTTGAGAGGAAAGAAATCTGTAACAATTTTACGATGTTTTCCACACTAAAACAACACTTAAAGCATAATGATGTCATCTTGGCTTCACCAAAGTCAGCAACAAAGCTGCCATCAACTACTGCGAAGCCAGGATCACAAACTTAAATCTTCCTAAATATATCAGGTAAGTGAATGCCAAATCTTGCAGACCTGCTTTACCTGCAAAAGTGCAACTCTTTTTGCTCAGTCTTCAAAGTCTATTTGATGGGCTTGCACAGAGTTCAAGCAGACTTTTCCAACACAGAAAATATTTAAAGCTTCAGACGCAACCTCAGGCAGGAGCTCAGCCTTCTGTTCAAGATGGTTGCTTTAAGATAACTTTGACCTGAGACTGACAGGACTATAAACCTTAAGGGAGGAGCAGGAACACGCTCAAGTTATAAACAAGAAGTAATTTTTTAATTAGTATTACTATCATACAAAAACAGAGTTTCTATATGGCTCACGGAGAGTGGAAGAGAAAGAAGCATGTGCTAACATAAGCCTTTCTCCTCGGTCTTAAACTTAAGAAGCCAGATAGAAATTGATCTTGTACCTTACCGGTCTAAGTCACTTGATGAATCTAAATTAAGTAAAATAAATGTTTTAAAAGTTTGCAAATATTGTAGCTATACTTCTGATTTATCATACTTTAAAGTCTCGTAAATGCCTCTCAAAACAGACTTAAGAGACACGATCTGTGTTCAGAAGAATATATAGGTTAAAACACAGTATAACAAAAGCATGCATAAGTATATGAAGGAAGCAGCTATAAGGGCATGGTGATATCCCGTACAAAGTCTGGTGACAAAGTAAAAACAATGCAAAATTAACACAAGTACGTAAACATTTAATCTGATCAAATGTGGCCCATCATGAACACTACCCTCTTCTTGACAGTGGTCTGATGCCTAAGACTATATGAATTTAAAAAAAACCAAAAAAACAACAAAACAAAACAATCATCAATGCTTCCATGGTAGTGCTCGAGTTTCCATTAGTCCATGACTTAACTTTCCAATATTCACAGATGATGCATTTCTATTTACTAGTCCTCAATGAATTCTTTCACTCGTTTTTAAATCCAGGTTTATTTTTACTTCATCAGGATATAACAGACACAAAAATAAGCTAGGCTGGGGGTTTGTTTGAATACGTTAATAAAACAAGAGTCTGAGTAGACAGGCTAAACAAAGTTGCACCCCTCCCCTCAAGAGGCATTTTTGTTAGGTCCCCACCAAGTGACTTGCTAACTCCAGTGTCCTAGATAGTCTTCTCATGGACTAGAGCTCATTACATCTCACAACACCAGTTAATGCAGGCAGGGGGAGAGGAAAACTCATCTACCCACCGAGAAACAACAGAGGTAACAAAATCCAAATTATTTTTGTGTTTTGCTTTTTTTAATCTAAGAGTGAGACTAATAGCAGAAAAACAGCGCTCTGATTAGAAACCACTTGTATTATAACCAGGACAGAAAGCACAGTTTGATGTAATCGTTCAAAAAATGCTTAAATAGCTATCATCCCCATCAGGAAATATCATAAAGAAAGTGGAAGAAAATAAATAATTCTCTTTTCCCTCCAAATGCAAATTTTTATTTAAAGAAACAGTTTACAACTTGCAGCAGAAACCAAATTGGATTTAACAAACAGTATTATTTAACAGCAAGATATTAATGGTGCGTATCATATTTTACTATAGATTTCCTGGGAGAATGGAGATAGTTGAGCTTTATCACACATTTAGTAATTACTAAAGGTATACATGGAGCATCAAATGCATTAAACAGCACAGTAAAACACGTTTGTAAAGATATTTTACCACCCACAATTTTAAAATTAGGAATTTTTTTTCCCCACTTTTTAGAGTCCTTTTCTTTCTTTATTCAGAGAGTATGTCTATGAGTATTATTTTTGGAGATATGAACATTCTTTAAACAATAAAACAAGCAAAATAGCATCAGGCACCAGTCATCACACATCCCCCTGCTGTTCATCTCAACATGTTCTTGAGACTTCTGAAACATCAGAACATATTTGGCCAAGTAATAATAAAAATTAAAGAAAAAGTTAAGGCAGGTTTTAGAAGGACTTAAAAGGTTGCGTGCTAAAGAAAGCAAAGATACAAAGTGGAAAATCTGCCCAGAGTAGACCCTGACAAATCTTCCAAAATTCAGCTTTAGCATACTGAACAGCTTCAACTGCACTTATTTCCATAGGGGAAGGGGGAGAAAAGAAAAGTATGTAGAGGTAGGGTTTGGTGAGATGATAGTCAAATCCCTTAAACACAGGAAGAGGAAGACAAAAAAAAGCGAATAAAAACAAACACAACCCTTCGGCCACATGGTAATCAATAAACACACACACACACCCCCCCGCCCCTAAAGATTAATCTTTTCATCTATGGGAAATTTTACACGGACCTGAGGTATGGGGAAACAAAAAAATCACTGCATTGTACAGTCTATTTAAAATAAGAATCAAATATAAAGTTCCTTATATACCTATTTCTTGGATTCCTGACTTGAAATCTCCCTGTTTGTTTTCAAAAATCCTGCTCTTTCTTCTTGTGCATAGAACTATGTGATCTAGAATAACAAACACAGGGGAGGAAAGCAGGGATCTCTGTATTGTAACCTCAGCCAGATCACCTATTTACCAAACACCCTCGAGCAAAAATATTAACTTTGTCCCCCAAACAAGGACAAAAATATTTTCAGACAGAGTGAATGTACACGTAACAGCAAGATGAGATTTAACCTTTGAACATAGCCTGATATTGTGACAAAGAAGGTGAAAGCTATGGAAAGCCACATATCTGCACTCCCACTGCCTGCAGTCAGTGACAGGAACTGGACTCAGATGGGGAAGGCAAGGGAAGGAAGAGAACTCGAGACAGTATTTTTCTTCTCCTAATTTGTTAAAGAAGTGTCAAAACTAAATAGTCTGTGTTCAGAAATAACTCCACTGATAACTGTAACTCACAGAGGGGATAGTCTAGACTGCTGCAAATATTAAGGCATGTATGATATCATCTTTTTTTTTTTCCTCCTCCTTTTTCAAGTTAACATTGTAGGAACCATGCTCAGAGGTGAATCCAAATTCTTCAGATCCATATATAATATCTGTTTGGAGTTGTTCTTGTTTGGGGGGTTGGGGATGAAGTGGAAGATGATGATGGTGGGACTTTTAAAAATTGTTTTTACCTGTGGTGTTTCACATATCTAGATTAACTTCACGGAGAAAAGGTTATGTTTAAAGTGTTAAATGAAGCATCTGTTGAGGCCATAAATAATGATCTTATTTGATGATTTCTTGAAATAAGAGACCGTAGACTTAACAAATAAGATCTGGAGGAAACATGCAGTCCTCCTTGACTTGCGTACCTGTGTCACTTCCAGATCCAGTTGATAATGCTGGCATGATTTAGTCTGCAGAGTATCACGCAGGAACGTCAGACTAGCACTCTGCAGCCAGAAGGCCGAAGTTAATTTCAGTTTAACTGCTTGCAGCCAAGTTGTCTACGAAGATTTATGCTATCTCCCAGTTTCTCCTAGAAAGGACAGAAACAGAATTTTACAATTAAGAACATTGCTAAACTGGAAATTACTACAGCTAACCAAATCCAATCATTATCACAAAATAAGCTTTTGATTTAAGACTCTCAAAACAAAGTGCTTTGCATTTATTTATGACTGTTAAGATTTTTTTTTTCCCCCCAGGTGAAACAAGTTTTGTATTCTTCAGTGTAGCCTATAATCCCATTCTGCTGTAAAAATAATTTAACACATTTCTCTCATGTAAATTACACTCTTTAGCGTGTCAGGTCTTTTGGAAATAAAGTCTAGGGTTATTTTATTAAAGCAGTGAATAATTTAAGTCACTCAAATTTTGCTACTACTTACCCCAGGAAAAAAAAAATAAATTGCTTACTAGCATGGTAATTTATTCAGTGTTTCTACTTAACCTCCTTTCAATTGTTTTCAGTTCATTTAAGATCTGACATGCAATTTTTATTTGTAATCTGGAAATATAATCTAAATTTTAACTGAAGTTGTAAAAAGCAGGACTGGGACAAACACTTCTCTAAGGTAAATAGCAGTTTGATTCCTGGAGTTGATGGAGCCATTATCATGCAAACCACGTAAGGAATTTTTCTGTAATTCATTACTACAAAATCAGTATTTTTTTAGGACATATTTTTTAATAATTGCACAGGCCTACTGATACCAAATTTGAGGTCTTTCTTTTAACCAGTTCTTGAGGAAACTTCAGAGCAAATGTAACGAAAGTAAAAAACAATTTCAAATATAAGTGAATGTATTTAAATTTAGATATGTTCAAATATGAAACTGGAACACAAACTTGTGAAAAAAAAATTAGAGTTATGACTGGAAATGTTTACTAATAGTGGGGCAAGGGAGAAGGCAGGGAGAGGGGGAAGGAAAAGCTAACAAAAAACAAAGGGTTTTTTTCCCAACTTCAGTAAACAAAAGGGATCCTTGAAGAAAGCAAGCAGCACAGTTCTGCTTAGCATAAGAAAATAAACAAATAGAAGAGCATTCTGCTGCTGCTGGCTTGTTTTTTGTTGGTGTTTTGGGTTGGTTTTTTTTTTAAACACATTCATATTAATCAGAATGACTTTTGAAGTCATCTTGGCTCTGAAAGTGCATATTTTGGACAAATTTGTGCTTGGCAACAGTCTTGTGGAAGAGTAATATACAGGTGCTGTAAACACTGTATGCTGTTCAAAATTTCGTTTTTCACCCCCAAAAAATCCCCACATTGCTAGAAGTATTGCAACATATTAAGGGCCATCCAGAAGATTTTGTTTAGTAAGTTTTAAATCCATTACTAGATATAAGTTAGTTATTAACTCGTCCCTAGGCATAAGCATACAGTTTAAATACTCTGGCAACTTCTTAAAGTTCTTTTTTCTCCCTCCCCTAAGCATTTACCCAAAGAAAGATTTTGCATGTCAGCTTTCAAACTCCAATGAATATGGGTTTTTTTAAGAAGGCAAATATAGCAGAAGTTACAGCCCTGCATAAGATCTTCTATGATGAAAAGGACAAAAAAAAAAAAAAAAAAAAAAAAAAACACCCCCTAAAAACACTTCAAAAAAAAAAAAAAAAAAAAAAAAAAAAAAAAAAAAAAAAAAAAAAAAAAAAAAAAAAAAAAAAAAAAAAAAAAAAAAAAAAGCATCAGTTTCCAAAAAAATATTTTTACATTCATCAAATCAGCACAAAGTCCATTAAATTTAAAACAGAGATAAGGAAGCTAAGTAGTTCAGAGTGAAAGTTCACCTTACAATGACAGAGTTGTAAAATGTCTGTATAGCTAGGCAGGGTGCAGTTTAAAAGAAAAAAAAAAAGTGATACTGTAGCCAAGGACACACTATGCCAATTAAGAAGGAACTTATTCATTTTGCATTGATTTTGCTTGTTTTCTTTTTAACACATACAAGCACCATGAAGGAGGAGTCACACTGTAAGCTCACTTATAGTCCCTAGCATGAGCACACGACTACAGCCGTACGAAGGACGGAGACATTTTTAGCTTTCATACATGTAAGAAAATATTAAACCAAAATTATTTACTATTAATGGGACATCTTTGATTTATATACAACTTAAAGTACTTTCATCTATTAAAAAAGAATGAACAAACACCAAACATGTAAGGCATTCTCATTAAAGACGCATTATTGTTAATCAGAAATTCAGGTTCCTTAAAAAAGTTCACTGTGAAATGTGGAAAGTCTTGTTGATCTACATATATGTCATGTATTTAAACTCAATCAGTTTCTATTTTTCTTTATTTCACAGTAAATCATTCAATTTAAAAAAAAAAATTCAAGCTCCTTATTATTTAAGAAACTTATACACAGTATAAAGTTATTCCCCCCAGATCCTAAATATATATTAATGAAAAATAAATGACCTGATGAAATCCTTACCAGTAAAATGCTTAATATTTTGCTGGAATGGAACAGGCACTTTTTTTTTTTCTAACTTGCAAATTAAGCTACATTTTTGCAGTGATGATGTTATTTTCTTTGGCTCGCTTTATTTAAAATGCTTTGGAAGTTTTTGCCGGAGCCCAGCCATAGGCACTGCCGACTGCTGTATGGAATCGATTTGCTGCAACACAGAAATACCAGCTGTTACAGTATGTCCTGAGAGGGATTACCGAATATTCTTAAATTGAAGTTCAATCCATCTTTCCATAAAAATGAGAAGCCAACGCCAGGAACGTAACAGCAGTATCAAGTGCACCTGAGGCATTTACAATACCCAGCAGGACTGTTACAACCGGCCTTTAAAAAGGGCTTATTTTTGAAATTTCATTATTCCAGTTGTACCTTACTTCTATATATCACACTGTATCGGGTTTTGCTGGCACCCACCGTGTG